GGGCGCGCCTGGCCGGGACCCGCTGATCCAGCCCAACCCTTCGCCTCCTGCCGGCTCCGGAGCAGCGGCTGGTGGCCTCTGGCTCTCGCGGACGGTGCGTACCACCGGAGAGGCAAGCACGACTGGGCACCAGCTCCGGGCTCCAGGCTCCCGACGCTGCATGCAATGGCGAACAGAGGCTGAGGTGGTGGCGCCGGAGCCGGCACGTCCCACCGCCCGGGCGGAGCTAGGGGCACCGGCTCTCTCTACCAGGTTTCATTCTAGTCTAGGGTGCACAGCCCTAGGAGATACTGGACTGCTGGTCTGGACGCCAGGTGGACACCAGACACTATTGGGCACAGGTAGATCTCTCTCTGGGACAAATCTGCCAAACATTTTCCCAAGCCCCCATCAGCCTCTTGTAACTCAGAGATTGAGCTCTCAGCACCAGGTCTAAAATCTAGCATCCAGATGTCTGCTGCCCTCAGGGCTCTCCTCTGCCTTGGCGGCCCCCCTACTCCTCTCTCCCACCCCCGCCATGGTGCAACATGTCAGGCAGGTGGCCTCAGGGCCTTTGCACAAGACCCTCCCCATGCCAGGAGGGATCATCCTCTGTGAACTCCTGCTGAATTCCCCCAGTCACAGGACTGTGCACCTCCAATATTGGCCACATGCGACCGCTGCCTCTGCACCCCCGACTGTCTGGAATCAAGAACAGACCCTTCCTCCAAGTATCTTCACTCCACCCAGCGCTCACACAGCCCGGGGCGCCTGCCAAAGGGAGCCTAGCTGAGCTCTGGTCACACGCAGTCACCGCCAGGAGGCGCCCATCCCAGCCGCTGGGCTGTCCTTGCTCCTGCTGCGGACCGCTGTCCCTTGGATGCCCAGTCTCCTCCTCCTGATCCTCCAGCACAAGGCGGCAGCGGGGACAAGTCTTGCTAGAGCAGAGCAGAGACTTCCATGTGCAAATGAACCCTGGAAATCCCGGTACCAGAGAAGTCCAGGGCGCGGAAGCAGCACTATCTGGGAGCCCCTGAAAGGCCTTCCAGGGGCATCAAGCAGAAGGTGGCTTCAGGATCTATGCTTTCTGATTCAGCGTGAAAAGCCAGCCGACAGGTGGGAGGACACGCCCCCACCCCACCCCCACCCCCGCACCCACAGACCGGCGGAGTCTCCTTGTAGTGTTCTCCCTCTTCCAGCTCTGGACAGCCCCATCTGATTAAGCCAAAGCACCCAAGTGCTTTCCACTTGTTCTAAGGTGGCTTCCTCACTCCCCTGATCTGCTTAATTTCCTCCTGGCCTGGCATGATTTCTTTTGGATCTGGGCATATGCTAATTTACATAGCTGGCATCTCCATATTTTCCTCCATGTGAACATTTTTCAATTAGCAAGTTTATATCTCTCTTTGATGCAAAAGTACTGGCAAGATTTTTTTCCCTCACCTAAAATCAGAAAGCTCTGCAGATTAGAAGGCTGGTACTATTGGCTTGAGCCTTAATTCATGTGCATATATTTGTGTGCACACATGTGATGTAGCGTGACAATCTTGGTCCTGAGTCTCACTGCCACACTAAGGTATCATCATGTTTGAGTAGGAGTTATTAGGTATCATCATGTTTGAGTAGGAGTTATTTGTCCCTTTTTGTTTTAGAGGCTGGAAACAGAAGACCCCTGGTGTCAATGTCCAGCTTGCATGCAGCTCTCAGCAAAAGCAAAGCATTCTGTGTAGGGCCCCAGGCTGGGAGAGGGCAAGCCATGATGTATGGGTGCTTCCCTGTCTCCTTCAAGGGGAGTCTTGCTTCACTGCTGCCCGCACCATCCTTGGTAATAGGCAGCTTGGCAAAAGATGTGTCCCAAGCCCTGATGTCTTGGGCCACTCTTAACTTTGCACAAAAGCTGGAAACGCAGGTATTTGGGCTTTCAAAGAGCCTCAAAGTAGCCCACAAGCTTTTGCTGTCTCCTACTAGAGGCCAGCTGTGTCCCTGTATCACAGTGCTGTGAGCCCCCTTCTGTACCATGCTCCATACTAAATTCCAGATGACACAGAGCAACGTCCACTGTTTATTTGCTGTGAGGGGATTCAGGAAAGGACTCGTTCTCTATTCCCGGCTTTTGTCTCAGTGGGATTCACTGCAGGACATGCCTTATGCCCCACAGAACCCAGGACCAGCGGCTCCCCTTGGGTAGAGGTGCCTTCTTTGGAGACATCCTCATTTGATGATTGTTTAGGAATGATCTCGGTGACCCGGTCCTGCAAAGGTCACTGTGCATCACGAGGGTGGCTTCAAAGACAAAGGCAGAGCAGCTGCAAAGGTGGCACAAGTGGGTGTCACCATCTCCTCACAAAGCAAGGAGCCTCATCCTCCCCACCCACCAGAAACCAGGAGTCCACCTCTGGGCTGAGGCTGCCGTCTGGAGATGTGTGCTGCCAATGGACATCTTATAGGTCAGTGTCCCCAGGGCACCTGCCTAGGCAGGACGAGGAGGGCTGATACCCCATAAATAGGCCCTTTCACTCCCTGTGAAAGTCAGTGAGAAATTTGCTTGATAAAGGGTTTCATATACAATTTAGTCTCAAGCTATCCTAACCGATAAAAAACAACCTGAAGTCGGTCCTTAGGTTTAGGAAAAACAGCAGAAATTTTCAGCTAAGGTGAGACAGAATACCGCCTAGGCAGACGATCCGCAGCAGGGGGGAACATGTGAATTATCTACACCTGCTAATGAGCTCTGAATTGTGTATCACCTTTCGGGAAGAAATAACGGGGATGTTAGGGAAGGATCAGTGGGATAAGATTTTGTAGCCTGGAGAAGGTAGTTTTAAAATTTTATTTTCTTTTGTTTTTCAAAGTAAAATCGAAAGAATCTAAAAAAAAAGAGAAAGATGAAACACTTCCGCCCCAGCCTGCAGAGTTAAAACAAGCACCAGGGCAGGAGGAGGAGGGCTAGACCTGAGGCCTCTGAGCTGCCCTGCCTGGCCCACCCACATGCCAGGACATCTTTCCAGAGCAAGCCGGGATCTGACCAGTCCCCCGCCACAGGACCCACCACTGACCAGGAGGAGGCCCTGGGTGAAAGCCACGGAAGATGCTGAGTGTGCCCTACCAGGGACTGGCTGACCTGGGAGGGGACTGAAGGTTGACACCTGAGCTGGGGTACACGGAGGGGAGGTGTGGAGAGAGGTCCAAACAGGTCCCAGGAGGCGTGAGGCTGGGCCTGTGCCAGCCAGCCTGCCCCGAGAGGAGGAAGCAAGCCACGCTGACTTTGAAGGCTCCCGGACACCTGGGAGGCTCTGGGTCACTGGCTGGAACTCCAGTCAAAGCTGAGGAGAGAGGGCTTGGATGGAGCTGGAATCAGGAGTGACAGCTGTCCATAGTCATGGAGATCACAGATGTGGATCCAGTGCCCAAGGCAAGCACAGCGTGGGCAGAGGAGGGGCGGTTCGCAGAGTCAGGCAGCGGGGATGAGGCGCCCTAGCACACAGGGCAAGAGGAGATGCACCAGGCCCTTGGGCCACCTCGCACCCCATTACGTGTTTCATAAGGGGCATTATTATTATTATTATTGTTATTATTATTATAAACACTTAGTATAGAATATCGGGAAAATATAAAAAAGCACTCAGGGAAAAGTAATGGAAACGTTTGGAGGACTTTTCCCCACAATATTTTTTCTACATATAAGGTAGAAATGAATGTATACCCCCCACACACGTATCCATATATACAGTGTGTGTATCCATATGGCATCTTGTAATATCACATTTTATATTAAACTGCACTGTTTAGTAAATAGCTTTCCTTCGGCAGGTACCACACCTAACTGCACATCTCATTTTCCCTCGGAGGTTTAGCACAAGCACCTCCCAGCTGTCAACAGCGGGCATCTACGGCACTGAGGAAGGAGGAGGCAGCTGAGTATGTCCTACAGGGGACTGATTTTCTTCCCTTGGTCAGTCTTTTGCCTGTGGCCACCCCTGGCCCATCTGACCATTCTGGTTGGATAAGACAGCTCCCCAGACAGACCCTAGCGTTGGCCAGGGTCTCAGACCCCTGCCTGCTCCTTTATGCTGCCACCCAAGTCTCATGACATTTTGAACACATTGCTTTCGCCTCCTTTGACAGTCCTGAAAGGGGCCCCAGAACTACTTCTGCTCCTGTTGAGCAGAGAGACCCTGAATTTCCTTGTGCTGAAAATAAAAATGACCCCTTCCCTGGCCAGGCACCACTGACATGGTCCCCGGCTTGCCCAGCCCAGCTAAACTGCATTCATTTCTCACCTGGCTGTAAACTTGATGCTTCTGTAGAAAGGGCAGAGAAGTAACCGAGCCGCTTCTCCCCAGATTGAACATAAAACCCAACTTTCCTTTTCCCATCCTTTTCCTGTTCTTGTGCTCGTCTATCACCCACGTATCTATCCATCTGTCTACCCCCACAAGATGTCCAGTGAGGAGGGAAAGGGGCTGGGACCCAGCAAGGCCATTTGCCAGCCACAGGCCAGGCACAGGGCTTTGTCCTGAGATCCACACAGGGCCTGGGTGCCAGGATCCTGGCTGAGCGTCACCTGCCCCCATCCACTCACTCGCTTCTTTAGACCCGGAATATCTGGGCAGAGAAGTGTGGTCAAGCAGGTAAGAAGAGGAAAGGTGTGGGGTGTCCAGACGACGGCTCCTGGCACCTAGGGTGCTCACAGCGCCCCCCCATGCCACCCAGCCTCCTGTGCCCTTTATGGTCCCACCACTGTCTGGCAGCACCAGCTGCGGGGGACGGGGAAGGGTCCTTAATCTCATCATCCAATGATTTACAGGGCACTTACACCGGGGAAGGAAGAGAAGGGCACACGGTGCTGCCGTCCTCACGGGCTGCGTGATTTCTCCGCCTCGTTCCCAGCACACATATGGTGACATGATTTGTGGGTTTGGGAGACATAAAATGATCTGCATTTTCTCCTCAAAGCCCAAGCAAACAACTAGAAGCCATAACGATTCCCGTTAAGTGGGCCTTTTGCCAGTCAGCAAACAGGGAAACTTCCCATTTTGACACAAACATTTATATTCACATGTAGTTTCCTGATGCCAAACCATGTTGAGGCGTACCAAAGGAAGCACCTGCGTTAACCCTGCTCCCATCTGTCTGACATAAAGGAACGATTTCCCGCTTTCTTAACTAGAGATGAGCAGGCGGTGGGGCCTCCCAGCACCCAAGTCCCCGTAGAGAGGCACATTTGGATTCCACTGTCACTCAGCTTAATGACAAGTGGCATGTACTACCAGCTGGCAGTTGTGGGATACAATTGGAAAATACTTCACAACAACCCCACTAAGTGGAAATAATTCAGAAGTGGATTGGTCTGAGCTGGGGGAAGGTGTAGACTAATGAGTCTGTTCCAACTCAGTTTTCCTGTTCCCAGGCATAACGAGCAGCCAAGGAGAGGCCCCACTGTGCCTCCTTTGAGCAGGTTCCAGTCCTTGGCAGCAGCTTGGGCCAACCACCACCCTCTGTCCAGGGCTACACTTTGCTCAGTTTCCTTTCCGCCCTCAAACCTCAAGCAAAGAGGAGGCAAATTCCAACCCAGTTCAGATTGCCAGGAGCTCTGAGGGTCAGGGTCTGAATTCTGCACTTCCTCAGAGGCACTAGAGAGCAAAACTCTGGAGAAGGGTCTCTGCACCATTCCCGTCAGCTTGGCCTCTGCCAGCAGGTGCTTGACCTGTCCAGGATTCCAAAGGTTTCCCAAGGCACCTCCCTTCCATTCACAGCCCCTAAGTCGGCAGGAGGCCGGCCTGCTGTGCCGCACAGCAAGAGACCCGGACCGGACTCAGGCCACAGGTGGACAGCACGCCAGAGCTCAGAGCCCAACGAAGAGCAAGGTGGCAGTGGCACTCAGCTGGCAGCCCCAGCGAGGGCCAGGTTCCCTGTGCAGGACTCCTGAGGAGTGTGGTGGGAAGTTCAGTCAGGATGTGTGCAGGTGAGTAACAACGTGGCGCATGCTGTAGGCCATGCCCCAGATCCCAGACAGCATCCCAAATTACTAAACATCTCGTTTCATGAAATCCATCCCAAATACCATGCAGAAGTGCTTTTGTGTCTGTTTAAAGGACAAAAATTGAAGCAAAGAGGAATATGGCAATATGTCCAAGAACCCAGAGCTAATAATGGGCAGAACTAGAATTCAGACCCAGTGAGCCTAACTCCAGAGCTCTGGCTTTCAAGGTAAGGAGGCCAAAGTGTCCAGGACATTGCAGAGGTGATGGGGACATCTGGTGACCAGACGATGCATCTTCCTTGGTTGCTTGCTTCGGAAGAGTGTTGGGCTAGGCAGCTGCTCTCCATACAGCCACATTTTTGGAGCAGCCTGCATTCTTGAGAGGTGACATCTCTGAGTTCAGTAATCATAATCCTTTAAATCCAAATTCTCTACTCTTGATAGTAAATTATATCTCAACGAAAAAGAAAGCGCTGAATAAATGTAGTCTCTGCACCATTGATTGTCTTAATAGATTTCACCTTGATAAAATAGTCTCAGGGTAAGAAAAAATGATATAATTCCACAGAAGATGGTCTGTTTTTTACCCTCCCTGAACAGCTGACTTAAACAATTCTGTGTATTCAGCAAATTCTGCCACCCACTTAACCTTTTCTCTGACTCTTCCAACTTGTTAATAAATACGTTGAAATATTCTTACCTGGAGACCAGCTGCTGGGGCACCTGACTTCTCGCCTTTCTCCATGTTCAGCATTGGACAGGGCAAGTTTGCATTATTTAAAGAGCAAGTGGTGACATAAAGGTGTGTAGTGGAGCTGGCGGCCTGAGAGGGGTTTCCATAGGACCCTGGGCCAGGGCCATGGGAACAGCCTGTCCAGGACAGCTAGGAAGTCGGCACATCTCCCCAGTGAAGCCGCCGCGTGACACACCCTTACGTTGTTGGAGGCCCATGCCCTACGGGCCACCTCCACACCCCTCAGGCAGGCCCTGGGATCTGCCTGTGCAAGGCAGCACCCCTGCAGGGGTTCCCAGGCTGGGACAAGGACAGCACGGGCCTCAGGGCCC